AAAAACAGTGAACTCAGTGTGAGAAACCAAAACTGCGTCCGCTCTGCACGACCTCCTGTTCTGTTAATTGTCAACCATCAGTCACAACATCGAAACAAAGCTTTCAGAGTTGGAGAGTTGATGAGAGAAGCGACAGTTGGCGCCTCGTACTTGGACTTGTTGGGTTGTGCACATGCTACAGGTTCATTCCTGTCGCTGTGACTCGCAGTTACAGTGTAATGTTTGGGTAACAACTCCTCTGTGTTAGTGGTTGGGACATGGATTCTGTCATATTACAGAGTTTAAATCACATGGTTTGTTCAATAGATCATTTTTCTGGTACGTTTGGTTTCTAATTGGTTGCTTGATGCTATAAGAAGTTTAATGTCATGTTTGACAGCAGAGATTAACTAGTTCATGTATGTTCAGGATAAAATCTGCCTCCACCGGACGCTCGGCTTCATCTCCGGCTTTGAACGACATAAAGTTGGTTACACGAGTGGGTTTAAGCTGCTGCCGCTCCGTTAGCTGTGAGGTGCTGAATGAGAACCAGGGTTAAGAGAGGGGGTTGCATGTTACCTACAGACTTAATGCAGCTGAACACATGATACTGACATGTGCTTGTGTTCGTTTAATGGTCTTATTGCAAAGTAATCATCAGAGAGTGGAGACAATGATGAGTGGGACTATTTATTCAGTCCTCCTCCATTAAGACTAATGTAAGAGGTAATAACAGTTACAATAATAACTGTAAATGCTTTTTTTTGCATTGAGATGAAAAGCCGTTTTAATGCACCCTGTGGTTGTATGCTTTCATCTGCTTTGAGTAAATCAACCCCGCTTCCTGTGAATGCAATCTATATTTATTCAATTCAGAACTTCACCAGCGTCCACAGTTGTGCATGATACGCATAAATCTTTGTGCAACTTCAATTTCCCTCAGGACAAAAGAGTGTTATTGTATTTATGTGAAGTCATATCGTATTCCTGACAAATAACCGTGACAGCAGTTTACCGCCACGCTCGCCGCCGCCTGATTCCCTGTTGTGTCCCCATTGTCCAACTCAACAATTTGATTGTGTCGCTGAATGACATTAATATTGTGCAGCCACGTTTCTGCACTGGTGAATGAATAAATGTAGGATGACAGGGATGTGGTTTTCAGAAAGTTCAGCAAGCAATGTTTAGCTTCTGTGTCTTATCGCAAGTGGATGGTTGTATTATTTAAAGGCCGCATTAAAATAAATCAATAATAATTGCTTTGATAAAGGATTTACGCTCATTAGGTGTCATGACAATAATATGAATTATTGGATTTTTCTTGACATCACAGCAGTTTTTCTCCCCGAGGTATTTGTGAGGTGCAGTAATTGGTGAGGCATCTCTTAAAGGTCGGATGTCTCATTACTGAAAGTCGCCCATGTATGTATTTAATCACCGTCATTTTTGTAGCATAGCTGATGAAGGAAGAGGTTTGAAAAAAAGTCAGCTGATCGTTCGTTCAGATACGAGGCCACTTCTTTAAAACAGGAATGTAACAATGAAGATCAGACTTGGTTCAGTGGATTGTCTGTGCGTCAGGCACACGTTTTAAAATGTTGGTACAAAACAAATGCCTTTAATGTGAAAGCTCGACGAGGTACAGGGTGTAAATTCAGACTGTGGGTTTGAGGGAGGCAGCGTCAGTGGACGATGGTTGGTTGATTGATTGATCGAGTTCGACTTTGGGCTGAACCAAAACCAAACATCTGGAAACCAATCCTGGATGACGGCTCGGCCAAATTAGTGTTTCAGATCTGTAACAGCAATTCTGATATTTAGATTATAACATGGGTTTGAATCAGGAACCCATTTTTTTTTATAGGTATGAGGCGGAAACCTAAAAGTTAAAGATGATCATTTGAAGAATGCACCAATCGATACTTTGTGAAAGGAGATCATCACCATGCAACGTAGTTTTTAACATCTGTCTACTTGTTTTGTGAAATTACTCAGAAAAGGAACGATTGGCTTAAACAAAAGAGTAAAATTACATTTTAAGAGTTTTTTTTCACATTTTTTGAGGATGAACTTTCAAGGACGACATGAATGGCTGCTGTAGATTTTAAGACAAGCAAACATAGACTCTAATGTTCCCTTATGGTGTTGACTGTCAATGGAAGCAACATGGTTCCCCTGCAGTGTGTGTGTGAGTGTGTGTGAGTGTGTGTTTGCATGCAAGACACAGAGAGCGGAGGTTCAAACACAGCCAGCGACATTCGAAGCACAGCAGACATGCAAACAAATGAAAACATGGCAATAAGAAGGGAAGACAAAAGAAAAAAAAAGAAACAAGTAAAAAAAAAAAACAGAAAAAACAAAAGATAAAGATAAAGAAGTTCTTGGGGGAGGGGACAACAAAAATGAAAACGGGTTCGTGTTGTGTTCATGGTTTTACTGTGATGGAAAAAGTGTAACATAGGGAGGAAAATATTCCGCCTATAAAGCAATAATCACCTTCGCTTGGGATGACTAGAATGTACGGCGTTGTTATTTGTCCCCTACCTATTACCACTAAGGCCAAGGGCCGCACGTCCCCGCCGGAGAGCATGAGAAAGAGAGAGAGAGAGAGAGAGAGAGAGAGGGAGAGAGAGAGGGAAGAGAGGAAACAAACAACAACAAAAAAAGAAGAGAAGAAGAGAATAGTCTAAGAAAAAAAGACGAATAGTTTTCTTTCTCCATTTCATCAAGGTTTGGATCTCCCTGGGTTTCAATTGCACAGTCTGTCTTAGAGGAGAGAAATTACAGTGGTGAGAGATAGAACTAGCACATTGAGATCAGTGGCTAACACTGGATGTGACCGGTCTCATTGCCAGGAAGTCCACTAGCATCTCGACTGGCCCTTCACCAGATGTGCCGGGTATGTTTATTAACAGGGGGGTGATTCGATGAACGCAGATGTGGTGCTGGGGGGGGTTAACATCAGTGGAGTCTGTCAGCTGGGATCGTTAATAAGAAAAATAAAGGGAGTAGGAAATGGAAGACAAAAGAAATGAGGTGATGGTTGAAAGAAAAGAAAAAAAATTAAAAGTAAGAACTTTGTGGCAAAGTTTGTGGAAAAAGAAGAAAAAAAAAACATTCCTGCCTCTGGATTTACTTCATCAGTTAATAATTACATTTCTATGTGCGATCATGTCGAGGCAGCTCGGAGGCTAAAGACGAATCAGCCCTGTGACGGGGCCGGCAGTCGAACATGGGCCGTTAAAGAAAGGTTCGAATGCTACGTTAATATTACGATTGTCTCCACGACTTTTCTTCGTGGCACGAAATAGAAATGATCTCTCTGGTTTAATTGGGTGATATAAAGAACCTGGATCTCAGAGATCAACTGCAAAGCCTCAATGATGCATGTCTAAATGAAGGCTAGCTACCAGTCAGCTACACGTTAGCAGGCCTCCGCCGGGGAGGTTTGGATTTTCAGCCCCGTGAACAAGATTACACAAAAACAACGGGTTTAGTCCAAAACTTGAAGGAACAAATAAACAATAAATGCTGGTACACGTCCACTTTAACTGTCTCTAATATTGTGAGACAGAAGGTTTTCATTGTTTTGGTTGATTTCCCCAGCAAATAATTTATAAATCATGATGAAAAAAAACATTTAGAGGACTAATATTGATGAGTGTGTGAAATTTAGTGCAGCATTAATAGATTGAAGGGGACTGGTGGGCCTTGGCGGAGGTACGAGCTCTACCGAGTGAGATTCTAGTTTGCACATGGAAGTTTAATTTAGCGATCAGTGTGGCTTTAACTTTAATTTGATGCAGGGCCTCCACTACCTGGCTGAAAACACGGTTCTTTAATTGGATCAGATTCTTTTATGCCTTAATCTCGATCCTGCCCCCTGTTACTGCCTGTGCACCAGCTGAGCTCCATCATTAGAACACACTGACCCAGAAAAGTGGCATTTATCCCTGCGATCAGCTGCTGCAGAGAGAGGATGGCAGGTATTGGAACAAATTAGTCATAGTCATTTGGTAAATTAGCCATCCGCGTTGCCTCAGAACACTACCCACATATCAGAAAGTTCCAAAATGTAGTTTGTGGGAAGACGGATAATTCTACGCATCGAGAAAAGTTTGTTATATATATATAAAAAAAAATAAATAAAGACAGCCACAAAGTTAAAAGCATGTCTTCTTCCCCGAGCACACACACATGCACACAGACAGAGAGCAGCGTCTACACAGCGTAGACCTCCACCCACAGCACTTCCCACTCACAAAAATAAAAAATAAAAAACACAGCCTGGAAATGGATGGCGTGAGAAAAAAAATAAAATAAAAAGAGACAAATGTGAGCACATGAGCAATAAATGCTTGATGCAGAAGAGAAAAAATTAAGAGCACAAGAACGACAGAGGAAGGAGATGTGGAAAAATCAAATAAATGTGTGATGCAGATGAAAAACTCGAGGTGAAGAAAATCAATAGCGAGCTGAAAAGCTTTCAGTGCACACGGCCTGGCACACAAATGGGTGTATTTGCCAGAGATGAGCAGCAAATAAAGATGGGCGACATGGGGGAAGCAAAACAGAATAGGATGAAATGGGTTCTGGGGGCTAACGCTTTAGCCTCCATCCACCGGGTTTAATGAACGCGGTCAATCGGTATGTAATGGCCCCGGTGTTCCACTTTATACACTGATGAGCAACATGGATGCAGGGTGAGATGGAAAAAGAGAGAGAGCTGGACGGAGAAGAAAGAGGGAGAGTGTGAGACAGATATGGGCAATAAAAGAGAACGGTTAGGAGAGAGGAGTCGGAGATGGAATGCTATGCAACAAAATCATGCAGGGTATCATGGGTAGGATGTGGGGTCGCCTGAGCTTAGGTTTGAAGGGTTTGAAGTGTGTGTGTGTGTGTGTGTGTGTGTGTGTGTGTGTGTGTGTGTGTCTCAGCTAAAACACTGTGGAGCTGTTCTAGGGGACATGTAACTGAGATGCAGTCGTCTTCGCTCAGCATCAGTGGAAGGGTGCTCATACCTTTGTTAGCCAGGCGGACACAGTTGATTTTGGTTTCCTGTGAAGACAAGAGACAGACACGTGGCTTTAGTCAACTTCAAACAGTGATCACATTTTAATAGTCGTCACTTCACGAGCGTGCACGTTTCACATCAGCAGAGACTCGGTACTGTTGATGGACGGAGAGTTTCAGCCTTTTTCAAACCCAAGTGTCCTTCAAGACAACCTTTGGATTCACTTTGTGACGAACGCATCTTTTCATATTTCACATTACCTGTGATACTGTGTGTATATGAGACGTGTGGCGGCCGCTGCTTCGGATTAGGATGATTTATGTTTGGCGCGAGGAGGTGTGATGCTGTCCCAGATCAGATGAACCCAGGGACAGACTCCATTTATAAGAAGATAATAACAATCCTGACATGTCTGTTAGTGTGACTGTTATCGGCTCCCTCTTATATAGTATAGAGATGTTTCTGTTGTACCTGAAGCTCTTTGGTTTGTCTGTCCTCGTGTACGTTAGACTAATCTGAATCAGCTTCCTTCTTTGATCCAGCGCTGAGAACACACACTTTCATCAGACGTATGTGCAGGAGGTCTGGTTTTTTTTTTTTCGTGGCAGTAATGAGCAGAGAGCATTTAGAAAACTGTGACGCCGACGTTAATGAACGAATAAACAATGAAAACTGACGCTCTTGTTTACATGTGTTATTTACATCTTGCGTTAGAAAAGCTTCGCAGCCCCACATGATGATAAACGAGGATTCTGTGTATAATTTACTACGAGATATTGTACAAATTCATATACTACAAAGTGTTTTTTGTACAAATGAGAAAGTATGACGAGCTTCAGAGACTGGTCAGACATGACACTCAGTGATTTGCGGTGAATGGAAATATAATAAGTAGTATAATAAGTATGTGATATGTGGATGATGAGGCTTGAATTACACACATGTACAAACGTGGTATTAGTATTTAACGACGATCAATGTGATCATGAGACCATGTTATTATTTTCTTATTTCGTCCTGTTCTGCACTAAACTGATCGACCTGATTCTTCTCATGATGCACATCGTTAATATCAGGATCAATAAAACATCCACACAAGTATGCAAACACTGTAAACCTTCGATCGATGGAAGGTGACGTGTGCACATTCAAAAGTACACACAAACCCATTTTTCTCTTTTACTCTTCAATCACCCACTCTCTCTCTCTTTCTCTCTCTCCTCCCTACAGTTGTTCTACATGTTTCTTCCACTCTTCCTGTCTCTCTCTCTCTCTGATGGCCTGTCACCACCTGAAGGGGCCGAGTGTTTCCCTTTATTCCAGCTTTTATCATTCCTTCACCGCTCCTGTCTTTTCCTCTTTTCTTCTCCTCTATGATGAGCTGTCACCAGCTACCGCTCGAATCGAACCATGGAGACCGGCCTCCCGCACACGTGGGCCACATTTGTCTTCATCAAAGACGACGACGGCAGCGGCAGCCGACACTGACACCTGTCACTTCAGCATTGGAACGAAATCACTCCCAAGGTGCGACCCAGATAGATTCTTTTCCTGCTAAACTTGTCCTTTTCCAGTTTTATTTTCCACTGAAACATGGAAAGAAAATGTTTTAGGAATTAAAATTCCCAATTTCAGATAAATTATCGTATCGAGAGACCAACTTTATTTGTTTCTCTTTTACATGAGATGGAATGGAGTCCAGCTACAAATGATTTTAGTTTGATGGGCGATGGAGAAGTCACTGGTCGTAAGTTTAAAAGTAAAAGTTAGTCTTGGTATAGGTGTATATATATATGTATATAATTATATTTAGACACCACCTGTCTCACCACACCTGCGTAACGACCTCTGAGTGAAACACTAAAGCACACACTCCCTTGATGTGCTCATCACAGCGTCTGAGTCTCCTCTATATCCTACAAATGGGCACCATGGGAATCAGATCAGCTCCCTGAGCATCAGTGACTTGTGTTTTAAAGAAATTGGCCCTGTCGCACTTGTTTACAGTCCATTTCGAGGCCCTGGCTGTTCTTCACAGTCACCATGAATAGGAGGGCTGCCTCGTCTTGGCTTATGCTAATGGCCCAAACCTCAGGAGGCTGCAGGAAGCAAAGTTAATAAATGTAAGGCCAATTTATTGCCCTGCCTCTATCCAGAGCGGCTGCACGGAGACGACGGAGAGGAGGGGAGTTGTTTACGGTGGAGACACTGGAGAGACAGTGTGTGTCCTTCTGTGTGTGTACAAGTTAACTTTGTCCAGCCTGAGGAGAATACTAAGTGTGTATGGGGGATGCAGCTGCTGGGTGGTTGAGCGCTCTCTCTCTCTCTCTCTCTCTCTCTCTCTCTATCTGTCTCTCTCTCTCTCTCTAGATTTCCAGCCATGTGTGTTTTCAGTCGGACTTCTGGATACTTTGATTGGCTGTTGGGGTTCTAAGGTAACCCGAGGTAGTCATGGTAACCACATTTATTTTGTCTCTTTACTCACTTATGAAATTTTTTACTTTTCCCTCTCTCTGGTAAAAAAAAAAAACATTTTCCAAAACATGGCGTCTGTCATTTTGTGTCATGTTCAGTTAAAATAAGATTTCCAGTTGAATTATCGATCAAGACACCAACTTTATTTGTTTATTTCTTTAATTGAAATGGAATGGAGTGCGAAAGTACACATTTTTCAGGTTTGCTGGAGAAGTTACTGGTTGTCAACATCTCTTTAATTCTTAGTTTTCTGTCATGTCATGTAAAAATGGGTTGAACCATCATGGTTATCATCTGACACTGGCTCTATCGAGTATTGATGAGACTTGTGTATTGTGGCTCAACATCTGGATTCCTGCTGCGCAGACTCAAACCTCCAAATTAAAACTAAACTGTAAGCTGCCAGCGTCCATATCTGGGACATTTTGAGCTTAGATCAAGTACAACTTGGAGGAAGTGGAGACACATCAGCTGTCTTGTTTACAGTCTGTTCTACACGCACTGATGCATGGATGCGTGTTCATGACCTCCGACACTTGCAGCCTCTAACCCAAAGCAAGCGACAGAAGAAAAGTGCATTCAAGGATTTTGAGTCAGCTGAGTGCAAAGTTACTGACATCCACTGTCAGCTGGTAACATTTATCTTTGTCTTTCTCCAATCTGCAGAATGATGTTTTCTGTGTGTGTGTGTGTGTGTGTGTGTGTGTGTGTGTGTGTGAATGATGTTGATGGTTGGAGAACCTTGACCGAACCCCCTGAGGCTTTTTACTTGTCAGTAAAAGTGTCTGGCTGCGTTTCTTCACAGCCTTTCTTTTCTTTTCTTTTTTTTGCCATTTCTCATCGTCCCTCCTCCGTCTTTCTCGTCCAACCACTCCGTCCCTCCTCCTGTCCTCCCTTCACTTTCCCCTGGATTCAACATCAAGTACTTTATCCATTGAATGATGGCCTCGTTTAAGCTCAACAAGTTTGTCCATGTGACTGTGGCGAGACAACCTCTCCTTCCTCCATCTCTTTCTTCTCTCTACTCCTCCTTCATCTCATGCTCTCTACTTATCTAATTCACGCCTTGATCCTCTCCATCTCATTTCCCCACCTGTGATTCTTCCACTTTGTTTTCCTCCTTGAGACACTTGCAGGATCTCTACAGCATCTGGGACAAGTTCCCTGATGGAGGTCTAAGCACTTCGTCTCCTCGCCTACTTTCATCCTTTTTCAGGTTTCTTCCTTTCGTCAAACTTTATCCTCCGTTCTCTCTCTCTCTCTCTCTCTCTCTCTCTCCCCTCCCACCGTCTCTTCTTCATTCCTGGCAGCCTCCATCTTTAAGTATTACATCCTCTTTAGTGTCGCTTTCACTGTTTTTAGACTTTTATTCCCTTGTCTTCTATCGTTCCTCATCCCTCAGTCCCTCTTGCTCTTAAGTCTCTTACTTGTGACCCCAGGCATTTTATTCTCGTGTGTGTGTGTGTGTGTGTGCGGGGGGGCTTCTGTTAACATGTGACACATCACATGACATCGAGGGAGGCATGGAGTTTTGCTGCCGGTGAGCAGTGTTAATGTGCGGTGCTTCAACTAATTGGCACAGTGATGGGAGATGAGAGACTGGCACCAGACTGATGTCCCCAAGAGGGCGGAGAGATGGAGAGGGAGGGAAAGAGATGTAAGAAACAGAGAGGGGAGGAAAAAGAAAAGTTGTGTGAAAGGAAAAGGGAAGAAAGACAAGAGGTAGATTGAAGAATAAAGGAAGGGAAGGGCTTGAGACAAAACACTGGGAAGAAGGAGGGATTGAATTGATTGATTGGAAAGAAAAGATGAGGAGGAAGGACAAAGAAATGAAATGCAAGTAAATAAAAAGAAGTAAGATGATAAAATTATGAGAGACGTTGGGAAGAGTAGGTGAGAAAAAAGAAAAGACATGAAAAGAAAACATGTAGTTGTAGTTTCCTATTAGAACAGCAGAGGCAGCAGAGGTAAATTATGAAGAGATGGAGAGAGTGGGTGGATGGAGAGAAGTCTTTCTTCTAAAACGAGAGAGAAATCAAGCGACAGAAAATGAGAGAGGAAGCTGGAGGACAGAATCTCTCCTTGATGGACAGGTGGAAAAAAAAAAAAAAAAGAAACGGGAGGATTATCCACGACGGGCGGAAAACGAGAAACAGACTTTGATCCACGGGATCAAACTATACGACAAACCAGCCGAGTCTCTCCCCGACACACTTCAGAGAGAAGAAAGTGACGTCAGCTGACAGTAAAAGAAATTAAACAAATTACACGACTTTGTGCGGATGTTAGATAACTGAAATCACTTTCAAACATCCTGTAACCGAAATAGAAGAGTGAATTATTCACTCGTCCACCCTGAGTCTAATGTCACCTGGCTGTGGTGGCATTCGGCGGCCGCTTTCATTTCTCAACAGCCAGAGGAGCTTTCCAAACAGCTGATGTGAGACCGTCATTGTCCTGACGAGTGAAAGGAGACTCGTCCTTCATCCAGATCGCTCCAGAAGCTCTTTGACAATGAATGCTCAAGCCGCCGGTGAGACCTTGAAAACATCACCAGCTGGAGAACAAACGCTGAGTGTCTGACCCCGAGCCCCCGTGCTCACCGCGAAGTGAAAGTGAAAAAAAGCCACGAGGATCAGCGAGGGACGAGAGCACCGGCCTGTTTGTGACGTAAACATCGATTCATATGTTGCATCCTCCCAGAAGTGAATGTCGTCGTGTTTCAGTAAACTGCTTCAACATAACAGTTTTGTACAGACACAGACAATTAACGTTGCTCTGCATGGAAGCATCAAACAATAAAAAGTCTTTGTTTAATTTGATTTAAACGGTTTTAAACTGCAGCTCTCCTCCTGACACGTGTCTGCATTTATTCTTTATGGTGCGTTTCTACCGCAAATATCTTTTCACGAATGTTGTGAGAACAAACAGGAAGCTGCTGCAGCAGATCTCTAACGTCTCTCGAAGGGGAAAATAAAACCAGCGGAGCGTTATGTTGGATGCTTTAACCGGGAATAATATTTTCACAGGACACATTTCTCTGACTTTATTGAATCATATGTTTTACGAACCACTTGCTTTTCTAATTACACCCCCCCAACACACACACACACACACCCCACCCCACCCCACCCCACCCCCACCCCGCTCCAATCCATGACCCGAACAAACCGCACACTGATTGGATTGACTGAGATCCAATCAGATGAGGAATTCAGATGTGAGTGGATTTAAGGTCTGCACGTAGAATAACTGCACGCATGCCCACTACTGGCACACGCACAATCAAAAACACGCCCACAGTTACACTCATCTGCCACACACACACACACACACACACACACACGCTTGAACCCCACACACACACAGCTGCACACAGTCGCTCGCCGTGTCAGTGCATTGTGGGAAATCTGCCTTCTGGAGGAGGTTATTACATCATGGCGTCGGCCAGCTTGCCCAGGCCCTGATCACCAAACTGAGTTACCGTGGTTACAGCGGTGGAAAATTAAAACAACCCTCACAGGACTTCAGAGTATTATGGAGATTTAGAAAGAAAAAAAAAAAGAAGCCAGGTTCAAGTTGTGAATGAGTTATGAGGAGGAGGATAGGTGGGGGGGCGGGGGGGATGTTGGTGTATTTGCAGATGGGATAATCGGCGAACAAAAGGGGGAGGCAAACAGACAAGATGAATTCTGGGAGTGAAGATTCCCAGAGGAAGTTTCTCCTCTCCTCTCTTGTTTGTTTTTATTTTCTGATAAGAAGGAAATGCAGCATGTACTGGGACGTGAAGGAGGAAACTCAAACTGCTCCTGTCTGTAAAGTTTTTACTTCACCATCCTTTTACTTTACTGCTCAAAACAATTCACCCTCCAAACACCATCACCCCTCCCCCACCCGTACGCTGTCAGGGGGTCCGTTGGTAACGTTGCCAAATGTCTCAGTTCAAGAAGAATGAATGAAAATCTCATCAATCGCGAGGTGACAAAAAGTTAATTCAGCTCCAACGGCCTCTCTTCTCTGGACAGGAGGCGTTTTGCACCTGATGTGAATGGATGACCCACGAGTTACACTATTGGAAACGCTCGCTTCACCTGTTTTTTTTTAATTTTACAAATGTGCAATATTAAATCGCAATTTCCCAGAACTACTACTAGGAAAGAAACTCTGAGAAAACATCATTTCTCTCTTCAATTTCAGTCTGATGGCTTTGGCTGTGAATACTGAGTTCATCAGCCACCGCATCTTGTTTCGGTGCGACAGTGAAGAGGAGGAGAAACTGACAAACATCAACAATCATGTCGTTTTCGGGACTCACCCCATTGGCTCTGCTCATGGCCTGGTAGTAGATGCTGTAGCTCTTGGCGGGCGATAGCGGCGGATTCCAGAAACCGCCGTAGCTCTTGTTGTCCCCCACCGTGAACGGCTGTACCACCGTGAGGCTCGATGGCGGCAGGTCTGCGGCGATGTAGTACGACGAGTCCAAGATGGAGGCGTTACGGAAGCTGACGGGGGCGGAGAAACACTCGGGGGCTTCAGAGGCGGCACGTCGGGTCTTGGACTTGCGCTCCTCCTTCACAACAAGCTGGTAGGAGCTGGAAACAGACGTCAAGTTATTTTAACTTTTTTATTTTCATAAAATATGTTATGATTGGATTTCTACCAAACTGACAAGAGGAGAAGAAATAAAATGTTTGAGAGTCAATAATTGTTTTGAGCACAAGGCTTTTCCATTTCCTTGCTTAAAGCATCTATACTATTATTATATTATCAAAATACTATCTTCCTAATCCCGCAGCACTTTTTTACTTGAGAATATAAACTTTAATCCATTTGTTTCCCTTGGGTCCATTTCTTTATTCTGTGTGCCGGACATTAAACCTTTATTTCGTCAAATAGCCGAGTTCAGCAAGTTTGAATCGGCCCAGGTGTTTGTTGTGTTGTCATTCGAACTCTTAAGATGATTGGAAAATAGAGTTTCACTAAGTTAAAACTGGTTACGCGTTTATTCCGATGCCCTGAACTCCCTCGTCGAGGCTTTGTCCTCTGTGGATTATCGACCATTAACAAGCTACAGTTGCTCAAGAGCTTTGGATCCATCTTGACATTAGATGTGGGAGTTGAAGTGGCCTGGAAAGAATCCTCAGGAAAATGCCTGCTTTTGTATGAAAAGCCGTATAATTGGTGTAATTATTTTTTTTTTTTTCTTGGAATGGTGGTTATATTTAAAAAGCAAACGTCAGTTCATTTTCTAACAAGGATCTGGCAGATCGTTATTTGTGTTTACTAAGTAGCAAGGTATGAATTATGAGTAAACGTGTGTGTAGGTCTGTGTGTGCACATCTGTTATTGTGTGCAGTTAGAAATTGATGGAGTCCAGATGTGTCTCCACCTGTCCTGTGTCTGTTTGTGAAGATGTTTGCGCGTGCACACACTCGAACAGGTGGGCATGAATGTGTGTGTGTGTGTGT